CAGCTGTAAGTAAACTCAGAATATTCAAAAAAAGGACAATTAGTGTAAAAGTGCCCATCAGTATGTTTGAAGAAGTCTATTATGCTTTTTTTACTCAGCAATTTTTTTCGCCAATTGATCAACAAGTAACTAATCATCTATATATATCTCTGAAGAACAGATTCTGAAGGCTTCACATATAACTGATTATAATTTGATTAGATTAATTTACTGTATGCAAGTTTGTTAGCTGCAAAACTCACTTATAGCTTTGAAGTAGCAAATGTCAAGATTAAGAGGATACAGATAGGCAAAATGAACAAAATTGCTGTACAAAATTATTTTTTAAGATGAAGAAAGTGAGTAATAATTTTGGCTGTGAGAGTACAAAAAAAGTAAAGAAAGTATCGAAATTCAGTTGGAAAAAAGAAAAGCGCTGAAAATAAAACTGTATGTGTTGATAAATATGCATATTACCATTGAATTGAAAGTACTTTTCATTCGTTCGTTTCCTTCTTACCATTGCTCATCTTAAGAAGCAAATCGACATTTTGTAGCAAATGTAAGCTAAATGCTGTTAGCAATAAAGCAGAGAATGTTTCTTAGCATTGTTATCAAACCAATCTGTGATTGCCATTTTCATTGCATCTAAAATATGTTTCATTATTTTATATGCTAGGCATTTATTCATTTTTCTTGCATACATAATATACAATAACTTTATGCTATACAATATTGTTTTAGCATGATAATACAAAAGTGATTACATACAAAAACATTGTGAGTAATTCTAGAATTTCACGTAATTATAATTTACTGCAGTAAGTTTTTTTTTCTTTTTTTTCACAAAATTATTATTTTTGCTTGTTTTCAAAAAAAAGATGTAAGCGCAACTTTTTTGTTTTTAATAAAGTATATGAAAGTGAAAAAGTAAATATAGATATTACGCATAATAATTGCATTTGAGAACACTATTTTTTTGTTTGTCTGTTTTCTATATAATACGTGATGGCTGCTTGTTTTCCTGCTATTAATGCAAATAAAGTAACAGAGATCTTAATAATATTGATATTAATAATGATAATAATAACAATTGTAATAATAATAATAATAATAATAATAATAATAATGGTAATAACAATGGTAATAATTGCAATAATAGTAATGTGAATAATAATGGTAATATCGATAATTTTCTTTTTTTATCTCAGTAAATACTTTAATTGCTCTGTGCTTTAACAGTAATTTCAATTCGTCTGCTTTTGTCTAATCCTCTTTCACTTGCACACTCTTTTCTACTAATGGGCGTATGTAATGTCAGCTGTTGATTGTCTCTTTCTAGTTAGAAGGAGGTGTGAATAAATAGGATGACGCTAAAGTTATACGGTAATAATGCCCTTTTTTGACTCTTACTTCTTATATTATTACCATGTAATATTATTAAGTGGACAATTAATCATACTTGAATAAAGTTACATCAAAGGTTAAAGGTTATGTATCTGTGAAGTAAATACGAGGCGTGCAAATGTTTGTTCACATTTTTTGCTAAAACACTGATTTGCTTGAAAGATTGCTTAGTAGATTGGCTCCCTTCGAAAAACAAACATTAGACATGAATAAGTTTGCTCATAATGTGAATGAATACAACTAGTATAATATGTAATGAGAAGTTAATTTTAACAATGGTAAAATTCATATCTTTTCTACCAATTTTTATAAACTCTTTAAGAGAATATACTTTGTACGAGTAGAAAGGAAGAAAAGAAAGTTATTAGTTATGATTGCCTACTCACAGGTAGCAAAACACTGCCTCGCATTATCCTCAATTACACAATACTTCACCTCACCATATTGAGGCCAATGAATGCAAGAATATTGCACGATAACAATACTCTGCGAGACAGCAAATATTATTGCTGATGTTGCGCTGCAACTATCATTCATTTACTCCCGCAATCACTCATTTCTTCTTTTCGTAATTTTTTTCCCAATTTATACTTCACATATCTACAAATTATCATTACTTGATAGACACGAAATTGTGATAGTTTTAGAAAGTCAAATTTGATTTAAATGGTTGCAAATAAACCTAAGTTCTGTTAAATCCAAGTCAAGAAGCCTTGAGGTTAATTCCAAAATTCATCAACTTAAAGTGGTGTTGACACTCAGTTAACAACTACAATTACTGCAACCTGTTTTGGAGAACAAAGCTTTGCACGGTTATACTTTAGACGATATTTATTTTCACTTAGAATTTCACTATTTCTAACTCAAATCCCTGCTTTTCAAAAACTTTCAAACGTTTACTCAGTTACAAATCTTAACATTATTTGATCAACATCAATTTTCTAATAGTATTGAGATTTCAAGCGATATCACATTTATGAATAGCAATATTTTTGTCTGTACTAAATTGTATTTGAACAATAATTTAAGATTAGGAAGTTCGATTGACATTAATTATCGTACTTTTTTTGCATTAATGATTTTTAAATATCCTTGACTGCATTACTTAATTACTCCTTCAACTAAGATGACCTGCACCGATTAATGTTAATTTCTATTCATGTCTGAAATTACTTTTGTTCGAAAGCTTTCTAACACAATTACTCTTACTATAACTAACTATCATTTCCACTGCTCATCATCAAATTGCAATTAAGTAGAAGTAAAGTGGTTCACTTAAAGACATTCATAAATAATAACCTCGAAATTATTAAAAGTAGCTCAGTGCTAATTTGCAAGTAAGCGCACATTGACTCACAAAAACGTCCTTCTTTACCAATTATTTGATTGGATATTGCAAATAACAACCACAAATTGAAAGTATTTTATTTGAGCTTGTAGTTAATTCTTTGGTAATGATTGCAACTTTTTTATTCAGTGTATTCTAGATGAGCTTGCCAAAGAAGTTATCATGGAAAGTATTAAAGATTAGAAATATTTGTTTTCCAACTCAAAAATTGCTTTGTTTTTAGCGTTTATACTTGTCAAAGCAATTGTAATAGCTTGATTATAATAGATTGAAAATTGATTCATTCACGATCAGTTTCAATTTTTTTAATTAATGATAATAACAATGATATTGATTCTGACAAATTTATATGACCTAATGCTAATTATTATTAATTTATCAGGATTACTTTGAACGTAAATTATCTGCGCTTGTCAATCTCTTAAGTAAAAAATTGTAAAAAGAAGCAAATAAATATTTTTTTTTGATTGCTATGAAAAATTCTTTTGCAAATGGCAGTTATTAGCAAATAATGTGAAAAGCTTCTTGCACGAGCAGTTTCAGTGAAAACACTGATTAAACTAAAAATAGTCAGCAGGAGGTTAGTTTTACTTTTCAAATCTGTAGACAGTCCTATACACATCAACTTGATATTTTTACTTCCGTTTATGCAAATTTGAAATGGTCATCAAGGCAATTGTTACATTTTATTATTTACAATTTAAAAGTTTCACATTGGTTTGCATTTGATGACTTTTTTACTCAAAGAACCAGTTTATTTTTTCTAATTTCCTAGCTTGAGATTGCATGGTCAATTTAGAAAAAGGAAAGCGAAAATAAGATAGTTTAAAGTGGCATAATATTAATCTTTTGTTGATATCAAAAATATTATACAAAATTATCGTTTTAGAATTAGCTGTGCACAAAATACATGGAAATATTTCAATTACTTTCCAGCTTTCAACCGGTTCTGCAGATTAATTCTTCAATTTTAGTTTTAAAATAGTATTTATGAAAGGATTTAAAGTCACCAAACACTCTATTTTAATTTATAGTGATTTTGACTTAGCTCTTTTTATAAATTGTGTAAAGATCAATAATCAATTAAGTTTTTAATTGTTAGTTTTTTCTTTCAATCAGTAAAGTTATACTGCCTTATTGAATCATTTTATAAATTATTTAGTATTCAGTTAATGAAACATTTTGTTATATATTTGGGTGTTAAACTAGTCGTTTAATAAATTCATTGATTTGTATTTGTTAAGTTATTAAAAAAGTTCTATAAGTCTTGATAAATAAAAATAGAAATCAGTGATATTCTGCAGTTCTTAGTACTTTTAATGATTGTATATGAATGCACGTCATGCATTAGATGCGAGCTATAAAGCCTTCAGTAAGTGTTTAAGAACATAGTAATTACTGTGGAAAATTGGGCGGTGCTAATGATTTTATCGGCTAATTGTGAAAGGCGTGGCTGTGTGATAGCGCTGATTGGCTCATTTTGGTTACAAATGAGGGAATTGTCTTCGCTGCATCACTACCATCATTTCACCATAACTGAGATCTTTTTCATGAATGCACAAAACATGATTATTTCAAGACATAAATGTATCTCTCTATTCTTAATTGTATATGCATGCATGCGTGGATATCAGTTTCGTACGTAAGTGTTGAGCGTACATGAGTGTTTTTCACATGCAACAAGTGAAAAATTTTCAAATGTTTATTTGGTTCAAAAAAAGTCTTTTTCAAAATTAATATAGTTGATCAAATTTCTTCACGTTGTTTCAGTTTGTAAACTTTTAATTACACTTAAAGATCGGCACAAAATACATTACTCAAAAGTCAAGTACTATATAGATATTGTTTGCTATTACGTAATTAAAAATCTTCAAGTAATCTGATCACTTATTCAGAAAAATAATTTTTGCAGTGTGTCAGTGATATCAGTACTTTTTTGCATTTTGAACTGATTAAAAATTTTTCATATTTATGTAAACATTTCATTATAAATATATTATTGATTATTGTTGTTTGTTTAAACTTTCTAAGCACAATCAATATTTATTTAATTGCAGAGAGAACACTTTTCATCTATGTTGACGAATTTTAAATAATATCCTTTTTTTAACTGCAACTTTTAAGAATCGATTTCAGGTTTAAGCCATGTGGCACAGAGTACAGTTATTGTGAGAATTTTATTTCAAATCAAATAATTTGTCTTGCATCTATCGAATTAATAATTAATTTATTGCTAACAAATATATAAAAGTTTGTCTTGCTTCAGATGAATCACATGCGCGAGGGCGGCAACGCTGGCATGTCCTCAACAGCCTCAGCTGCGCTTGGTCGAATCAGTTGTGCAAAAAGTGCTGTGCAAGTACGTTGTCGCGCATGTCAGGAAGTCCTTTCATGGTAAATTTTCTTCTTCTTTTGTGACTTATTCAAAATTATTCAAGCTACTTTCGAATTACTTTTGTCTATTTTCATATAATTAACTTTACTTTTTGTTTTCAAGAACGCAGTAATGCATTGCATACTCATAAAAGTATTATAGATTAAAAATTTGGAAAAAGCTTGTTGATGACTGCATGGAATCTGATGCCTGTTATACTTTCACTAAACTTTCTTAGCTTTTTTGTGCAGAAAGTTTGATTTTATAGTGTGGACATATTATTCAAATGAATGAATAAAAATTTCTGATATTTTTTAAATTATATTTTCTTAAAGTTCTACATTTTATGCTTCATTCTTGTACTATTCGCACAAAATATTGCATAAATAATTTTTCTGACAATAAAAAAAAGCAAAAAGAAAATGATTTGAGATCCATTTTCATGTTTTGATAATGAATCATTGAATGCAAAAGATGATAAAGAATCTTAAAAATAGAAGAAAAGAAGTAGAAAAAAATTGTAATCACAGAAAGTCTTTCATATATTTGAAGCCAGAAAAAAGGCAAGTGTTTATGTTCATTTAATAATTGTTCTTTTTTTCGCATTCTGAGATTCTTCTTACCACAATGATATTTAGAATATATTATTTTCTAATAATAAAAAATAATAATAAAATTAAGTAGTAAATAAGCATGCTGTTGTATTAATGTTCATAGTGCTTGGGAAGTAGTATAAGCTCTAAAGGTAAATTTATTTTGATCATTAAGAGTGAACTATTTTTGATTTTTAGTTTTTTTCATGATTAAAATATGAATTACAGTGAAAAAATGTTTCTTATTTTGATCGATTGGTAATTTTTTAATCTCAGTAAATACTCGAAGTTATTAGAATTATCTTGGACTTCATTAACTTTTACTGTAATTAATACATTTCTTTCGGAAAATGCATATTGCAATCTATTCAATAAAACATGTCCAAAATGTATCACAGTCTATTTAATAAATAAAATGCATTGAAAAATCAAACAATGATAAAAGTTCAATAAATGCAATATATATGAATATACTAACATTATGAGTAAATCAACATCACGGATTATGCCATGTCTATAATTCTACTAAAAATACGGTAAAAAGTAAACATTTTGCTTTTCAATTATATTTATTGGTCTTTTCTACTATTATTATTGCTAATAATTAATGAAATATGTTGAATTTTTGATTCTTTGTATTTTATATAAAATGAAATAATTTATAGTCCATCAGCATTACGTCAGCATTGTGAGAGTCGCGCACACGCCGCACGAATTGCACAACTTGCATCGAAAGCTGAGAATGTGCCAAGCGATAATTGTCCTTCTAATACCACTATGCCAGTACCGCTGAGTCCTGAAACTGTTCTCGAATGCCGGCGTTGCTCGTTCGAGACTACTAATTCAAACAACGCAATTGGTTAATTTATATTAATAAAACTGAGATAATAATTAATTATTGCTTTGGATGCTAAACTTTTGATGCCTTAAAAACTCTTTCAAAGTATTGCTGCAATTATTCATAATTTTTTTCATTGCAAATTTTAGCACAAGAAAAAAATTCTGCTTATATTTGACAGTTATGAAAGCCACTAAGTGTAATATTTAATCTAACTTCTTTTGGGTTACTTTTCTCTTTTAATTAAATAATGTAAATTAGTTAATAATTTTTTTTATTAAAAAAATAGTAAAATGCTAATAAAAATTATAGAACACATGCAAAAACATGCAGAAAATAATACCGGAGAGCAAATGAATTCCAATATGGAAGATGAATCTGGTAACGAATTTTTCATTCAAACCATTATAACAAATGTAAAAAGTAACAAAATTAGCATGCAGTTTTGAGTTTCACTTTAAAAGTAGTACTACTGATTTGTATGAAAATATTCCATGTGTCTAACTTTGCTGTCATAAAAGTTTATTGCTAGCAACATAATTCAGTGAAATAACTTTTCAGAATATTTTAAATTGATCGTTTAAGTAGCATTTGAATTGGCACATTTCAGAAGCACAAGAATACTAATTATCAAATTTTGAATGCGTAATTTTGACATTAATTTAGCTGAAATCTTTTTCAATTCTACTTTTAGCTATTAATTTTGTCTGACTTTTCAGTGCATTATTCTTTTCTAAATTCAAAATTAAAAAATTTTGAAGATTCATGCATTTGAAACATAAACTTGTTGTCTTCGAAGGAATGCCCATGAAATGAAGCAAAGTTTTATAATTACTACCAAAGAGTTAAATAGTTGTAAATGTGCAATTTAGTGCTTGAAAATCTTTGGTAAAAACCAGTTTTCAGAAATACTTTTATGATTAGATTGTGCAGTTAATTATGGATTGAGATGAAAAATTGAATAGCATAAAGTGATTGCTGGAAAAGAAATAAAATGAAAATTAAATGATGAAGTGGCTATTGTAAAACTTTTGAATTTATATTTCAAAAAAAGTTCTCAATCTAATTATCTACTTATTTACCCATCTATCTATCTATACATCTATCTATCTATCTATCTATCTATCTATTCGTCTATCTACTTATTTACTTATTTATATACTTACCTATTTTTCAGTTTCAACCAAAGAGAAAAAATTTAATTTTGTTTGCTGATAATCTATTTTAAAGTGAATTTCGATTATTGTTGATTTGATGGAATTGAAATTGAATGAGTTAAATTTGGGAAAATGGCAATGGCTCCGTGCCACCTGCCGTAAGTAAATTAATACATGTATATATTTATATAAATTCATCTATTTGTCTATTAGTTAGATGGAAATTACCACTGACTGTGACTAATCTCCGGAACTGAACAAATGATTTT